CTGTCTTTTCTTATTTCTGGATGTTCTTGAACTTTAACTCTTTTAAAGATGAAAAGATTGTTTTTAGGAACGGAAAATAATTTGTAGCATACCTTCCTCGTAGAAAAACATATTAATAATGGAATATTTTTTGGATGACATATCAATATTTATTGGCAAATGAGAATTTATCATTAACATTTGAACGAAGAAAGTTTCCATTTTATTTAATTTGCATATTGTTAATTTTTCTATATGGTTAAATTTAAAACAAAATAATTGAAAAATGGATTGTTAAAATGAGCAAAACAATCATTAAGAGTGTCGGAGAAGGAGTTCCAGTTGATGATAACTGCATTTATTCGTTTGCTAATTTATTCACATACGAAATGTAATTATAAATTATTTTAGATGGATGGTACGATGGAATTTTAACGCACTGAAATTTCAATTTTCATTTAGTTTTTCAATTGAATATATATATTTCATTGTTAAACTCATTCTTCACTTTAATATAGTCATTTTTGCGCTTTTTTTGCTTCCTTTTGTAGAATAATTTTAATTTTAAAATAATAAAACCAGTTTAAAAAAAGAGAAATTTTGAATTCACTTGTTCTCCCATAATGTCAAGATGCAACAGTATGTATGAATCATGTTTCTTTCGACCATTTTTGATACGTAATTAGATGGCGATAATAGCAGTGATAAAATGCAGAAATTAGTAATTAGTGTTAATTAATGACAGCGGCAACATCATTCATGATTATGTCGTATATAAACATTTACAGCGTTCAAATTGAATAAATGAAAAATTTTTTTAAACACTTGAAAAATAACTCCTTTTTATCAGAACCTGAATTCAAAAATTATTTCATCAAGAGTGAAGCATTCATCTATAAAGCACTTGCTTTATCTGAATGAATTTAAATGAGAGAGAGGGAGAGAAAGAGAAGAGAGAAAGAGAGAGAGGAAGAGAGGGAACGAGAAATGAAAAAAAAAAATCATTTTTCAAACAATAATAATTTAGACTGTAATGAATGCAAAACACGGATATTGGTCAGTGCAAAGAGAACCAATGGTCAGCGTAAGAAGGATGAGCAAATGAGATGGGATCGATGTTTGAATATTCCGCAACGTAGGTAGGAAGTAAACCGGTTACGATTGCTACTGAAAAGAGCAACCATTTCATCTTTTGCTGACTGGTTAATTTAACAATGTGATCCTATCCAATCTGGTTCTTTTAAACTTTTTACCTTCTTCTGATCTGGTTCTTTTAACTTTTCAGTCAGTCTAATCCATTTCTCAAAACATTTAATCTAGTTCAGATTTGCTTCCAATTTTAATCACATATTTGTGATTATTTCATATATCACTGATGATATTTATAATGTTACAATTTCCTATCCGGTAAGCTTATCCGTAATTCCGTTTGCAGATGTTTAAATTAGTTTAGTTGGAATTTTTATGCACTACGATTCCTATATTTCCCGAAATGATGTGCTGAAAAAAGTGTGGATAGCGGAAATTGTTACCCGTAAATGCGTTCAATAGTGACGGTGATTATATTTCTGACAAGACAGGTGAATGGTCAATATGGTGAATTAGCATCGTTAATCGGTGGCGCTCTTACACCGGGCATTGTTGGTAATGGAGCTAACGGTGCATCGGATCTTCTTGGCAATATTGGAACCTGTTAGTTTTATTTTTCAAAATAATTGATAAAAAAATTTAACAAATTGTGATAGATTCTGCTTTCAGAAAAAAAAAAAACATCTTACATTTGAATTTAAATGTTACTTTAATTTTGAATTAAAATGTTGTCATTTTGATTGGAAATAATTTATAAGTTAATTTTTGCAAACTAAGCAGTAATTTTAAGTTATTACGTATAGTTTGAGCTAAGTATGGTTGTTATATTTTTTCTACAATTGATCAAATATTCCATAAAAAAATGAATTATCATAAATAGGAATTATTCCATTGCTCAGTGTTATTTCAGTGTATAAAATTGCTCAGGGTGCATTACAATTAACCGGTACCGGTGTCGGTATTCTGAATCAGGCTGCAGAAGGAAAATGGTTCAATACAATTCTTGAAGAAGCCAAAAATGTAATTTTCTCCTTATTTCTTTCATTTGTTAAAAGAGCTTTAAGAAAATGAAAAATAGTTCACTATATGTGTAAATTACCATTTTATTAAAATTTTAATATTTCTTATAAAGATAGTGGTGATAATAATAATACTTCAATGGTTATCGTGAATTGAAATATCACAAGGCATGCAAAGTTGGGAAAAAAAAAACTTAAATAAGAAATTCTAGAAGGTTATATTATACAGCAATAAACTATAAAGATAGAAAAAAAGAAAAGGCGATTTTTATTCTTAACTGTACATTACTTTGTTTTTAAATGATTCTACAAATTTAAAACTTCTTAAAATTAGTTATATTATTTTTTTTTTCTTAAAAAAGGAGAAAAGGCATTACAGTGACTTTGGAATTCTTCCACGTCAAGCATATTTGTCCAAAAAAAAATGTATTATCAATTGTTTCTCAGATTTCTGTTCGTATTTTTAAAAAGATTTTTTGACTAATGAAAATCCGGAAAGCGTATATCTTCGAATACATCCAACGCAAATAAAAATTGACAAAAAGTTCTTCTTATAATATATACAAAATATTTTATTGCCTATTTCCTGTAGTATAAGTGACCATTGTAAATTCGATCAATAGTTTTTTTGAAAATAATTCGAAGAGATTATCTTTTTTTTTGAAGATTTCAAATTATTTCATTTTTCGGCTTTAAAAAGATGTCATTTAATTTTCGCGACTATCGCAGCAGCGGAAATCATCCATCTCTTATTTTAGTAAAATTAATTGTTAGTCTCTTGTCTTAATAAAAGAAAAAAAAAGAAATGCAATCTTACAAAAGTGGTGAGAAATTATTTTACTTTCTTTTTAGGCTAATCGGGGAATTCAAGACAGAAGACTGATTGGTATGTACCTTATTTCAATTTTTATTTTCTTTTCCATTTTTGATACTTTTTAAAGGTACCATAATAAGATAATAATACTATTTACGCCCAATAGTATTATTATCTTATTATAGTACCTTTAAACCCATGATCTCTGTCTTCAGAAAGATTTATCAGAAATATACGATGCTAAGAAAGTAAAGAAGGGATGATCGATTGATGTTTGCCTTTAGTTAGCTTTATTAACCAGAAGTAAAAGTTAACCGTTCATTTGCTTAATGCATCTGTTGATCAAGAACATTTACTTTCGCATAATCACTATTCCCATCACGTGTTTTTAGAGTGGTTAAGTTATAATTTTTGGTACTTTCTATTTTGCACATCCATTTTTCAATTTCGGAAACGGTTTTCTTCAAAACAGAAACAGTAGTAATTCTTAGCTAGAAAAACTAGAAAAGAAAAATGCAAATCTCGTAATGGTAGAGTGGTGTTTAAATTATATTAATTCTATAGGAAAAGGCGACAAAGTTTTTTGAAATTTCAGTTAAGTTCTTCATAGACAATACCTGAAAAATAAATTGTCTGTAAGAATTAGGCGTTACATTAATTATTTTGTAAAAACGAATGCATAGAACTGGCAAAAGTCATTCATCATTTTAAAGGATGAAAAGGTCGAAAAGTAATGATTCAGGGGAAAAGAGGGAGCAAAAAAGCAATACTACACAAATTGTAATTTTAAATTCTTGCTCCATAACCTGTTCTCTTACGGAATTATCAACTTTAAATTTTTTTGTGAATTTTCAATCCTGTTGAATCAATGGCAAGGATTTGAGTATCTGAATGTTAGAAAGGGTGAAAGAAGAATAAACATGGTGGAGGGTTAGATTGAAATGACTTCAAATTAAACATCTGAGGTTAATTAAACAAATATTTTAGAATTTAAACAGCTTTGCCTCCCAATGATTCTAACTGTTAAGTAGAAAAAGTGAATTTCCACGGTCAAGTAAATGCATTTGATTTGTAAAATTTATATAACTTAACAATGAAAGAAATGTAAAAACCATTCCAGGAAACGGGTTAGATCCTGATTACTCTCAGTTTGGTATTAATTTTCCGGCACCAGCACCTAGTGATTATGATCATGAAGAGATTACAAAACTGGAAGGTCTTATTCCATTCAGTGCTAACAATATCACAACTGAGACAACCAAACCAACTGAAACTTCATTAATTACTCTGTTTCCGGAGGAGGTATGTTATTTTTTCGGTTGAATATTCCGGAAATGTTGTGTAATTGACACATTACAACTATTTTCGTTTTTTCCGCTCATAGTTTACTTCCGATATTGTATCTAAATAGTTTGATTTCATATATATATATATCATTCAAAATCTACACTGATAATACACAACCATCATGTAGCATAAAAAATTCATTTCGAAAGCATTTTTCTCAATTCTTTTTTTAGAGCGGAGTAAGCAGTCTGATGGAAAAAGAAGACCGGAGCAGCATAAATACAATTGAAGACAATGAAACTGAAGAGGTGATTGATCATTCTGGAAATAAAGAAAATGTTGGAATAAAAGAATTTAACGAATATGATCATGTAAAAGAACAAACGGTTCATTGTTAAAAATTCCTCAAAATTCAAATTAACTCAATAAATATTTTCTCGAAAACGTCTGTAGAGTTTTGGAAGAAATTAGCTAGCCATCAAATAATCAATTTTTCAAGACTTTTAGAAATTTTTAAAACAAAATTTATAAAAAAAAAAACAATGTACTTTTAATTCTCCCATTTCAAACATTACTTGAATGTAAAATTATTTGTTAAAATAATAGAATGCTGATGAATTGCAGATATTTTTAGGATAAAAAATTGGAATCGATCGAAAAGAAAATACCAAAATTACAACGATTTATTGCATTACTACATGAAAGTAATATAACGGAAAATGACTTAAATGAATTGACGCAATTACTCGAAAGGGAAAAAGCGATCAAATTAAAATCAACCAAGTCAAAAACCACTTCCCGAATTCTTTATACCACTCCTACCGGAACCATAACTACAGATTCAACATTTCAACATACAGAAGAAACAAGGTAATATAGATTTCTTAAAATTGAATATTTCATAGTTTAATGAAAATTTTCGAACTGTTGAAGGATTGCTAATACACTTAGAACGTTTGTTGATCAATCATTTCTCGATGACAGCATCACCAGAAGTGATTAAAGAAGCAATTTTTTGCCTCCAAGTTTCTTTGGCATTTTGAGGATTGAAACTTTGACTCTCTTGGAATCTGTTATAACTAAGTAAATAATTCAGCACACAAATAAAATGTTAAACGAATAGTATGAATGTCAAGATTAGAGATATCAATTAAAAATATCAAAAGTACTATACTTTGTTTACAGCAAATTATACTTTATTATACTTTATTTACAGCAAAAAAATTATACTTTATTTACAGCAAATCTTTTTTGTCTACTCCACCAATAATTTTGCGACCTATCGGATCGGTTGGTATTACTGATAACGAAGATAACGATCTGCTTCCGCCTACTACTCCACGATCTAGAGCGGTAATTAAGTATTTGTAATTTATCGACTAATAGATTTATTTCAGATTATTTGGTGAAATTTTGAAAATTTTCAAAAGACAGGGAATACTTCAAATAAAATTATTTTATTTATTAGAGAGCAGTTAGGATCAAATATCGACCACACAGTGGATCTAAAATCGATTCAATGTTTACAACTTTTCATCGTCCTAGGAAATTTCCACGTCGAATAGCATATCGAGCTCGATTACCCTTTATTACGAATACAGCGCATATTAACATGGGGAAATCAGAACAGTCAGAAATAAACATAAATAAAAGAGTAATTCCACCAATTCACTTAACAGGTATCAATTTAACCAAAAACTCATATTTAATTTGTTTGGACGAATTTTGCTAAATTCTTTATAAATTTTAATTATTGTGAAAACATAGATTTGTTTTAAGAGTTAACCTCATTGAGAAAATAAGTTTCGATGGCTTTTTGAAAAACAAGAACCCTTATTTATTTGTTTAAAATTTTTAAACAAATTTATTGTGGTAATGAATTCAAATGTATCGATAATGTTTCATATAAAAGTAAAACATAAAAAAGAATTCTTTTGGAAATATTTAATTACGAACCTTCTATTTTAGATCAAAATTCAAATATTCTAAGACAACCATTTTTTCAACATACTGTTCAAAATCCATTCGAGCAATCAAAAATTTCCTTAACCGCGCCAATTTTCGGAATTTTTCAAACTCCGGCATTTACAACGCCAACATATCAGCAAACTGTGAACGCTATTCCATTTGCAACGACAATTTATCCGCAAACTATGAATGTTATTAAATCTCAGCCTTCTTCATACACAACCATTTTAGAAAATCCTAACAAAAATAATAGGCTATGGGCAAATCAGGAACGTACATATATCTTAGGGCAACCGAATATACATTTTAATTCAAATTCTGATTTATTTCTATATAACCAAAATCCCTCATGAAATTTGTTAATTTCCTTTAAATGATTAGAATGATATATTATCATATTCCTGGCTCATTATAAAATTCATTTGTAGAAAATTGTGCATTTATTAAGTACTACTGTGTTTTGCAGCAAGTCAGTCTGTTCATTGTTTTTCAAAATAAATTATAAATGAAAAAAAAAAACTTAGGATTCTTTATATGTACAATGTTTGCATGTACAATATTTATATGTACAAAGTTTTTACTATTAAAAGTAATGTCCGTCAGCGATTTTAGCAGTCTCATTACTGAAACAAACAAGAAAGAAGCGAAATAGCGAAATATTTTTGTTGATTTTCGGATAAGAAATTAATGAAAATGGAGTTGCAGCACTGTAGATTGATTTCATGAAATTTTTAAACGAAATCAAGAATCAAGATCAGTAAAATACATCGATGACAAAAATGTCGGATTTATGCTGGATGAAATGGCAGCTAATTTGAATGTGATTTTTCAATCTAGAGGAAGAGAAGCATTCAAGGAATGTGTTAAACTGATAGCGATGATGATTGCAATTATGAATGATTGGAGTGATCGATAAAAGGAAGTAAAGTGATGCCTTTCTTTTGCTTTATTCTTGTTGTATTGACAGAGATAAAACGGCGTATATTTTGTGTCTCAGTTAAAGAATTTAGTATCAACGAATATCATCTAAACAGAAATTGAACTAATTATTTGTTAAGTGAAGAGGAAAGAAAACCGACTTGACAGGCGTGTCCTAAAAGTAGGCACGAAAGAAAAAAGAGGTCTTTAATATTTTTCTTTCTTTAAAAGTTGTTGAATATCGCTCCTGTCATCATACTTCTCTTAACCTTTAACCTTTCAGCTACTCTTTTCCTTCAACTTTCATTTAATCTCAATGGCCTTTTAACTTGCGCATATATTTATCAATCAATTTATAATTCATTTCGTTTCACACATTTTAAAAATCATTTTCATATTTGAAACTCTCTTAAACTGTTTTAAGTTAGTACACTTTCTGCAATTAAATAATTAATTTAACACATTTCGATGTGCATTTTTTTATTCACTAATGTGTCCCTTCCTCTTGTAAATAAGTGTGACCTATCCTTCTCTCAGATGTCATTCCATATATCCAATTAACAAAACTTTTTACAGTGTTTTAAAAAAAAAATTTATTTATAGGAAAAAATAAAAGTTCACTCTATAAGAAGCCTTTTCTTTGGTGGAACTTTCCAAATGGTAAAGTCATTTATTGGACGGACTTAATCGATGAAAACTTTAGCTGAAATAAAAGCTGAAAAGCCTTCTGTAATTTTTTAAACTTGCATTTATAGAATGATTGCTACTATAACCTCTCCACTATTCAAATCAGTCAAAAAATATATGACAAATTTATAAAGCTCTACAAAAAAATATATCGATCTATGTCTAACAATAGCAATTTGAAATATGAGTTCAACAATTAAAATTGATTAAATTATAAAACTTTACATTTTTCTTTTGAT